CACAAGGAACCCCTGCTTCCTCCACAGCACATGATTTGTCAAATTCTGGGAGTTTGGGGAGTAGCCTTGATTTCCCCTAGTCACTGTGAGCCATGAAATGCTTTTTAGAAGTATATGCTATATAGCTAGGAATGTAGCCCAGTGGTGGATGCTTTCCTAGCAGGCATGAGGCCTTGGGTTCAATCTTCGGTATCACATACACAAAAAATGTATGTTATGTAGGATCTAGTTTTTTGCAGTGGAAAAGTTCCCATAATATCTTTTTCATAATAATATAAGAAACAGAAGTATCTCTACAATTTGATACTTTTTAGTAGTTTATAAGCCTTTTTCAGAGCCATTAAACATTCCTTTGTAAGCATAATTTTTATGGTTCCATATATCCCATTATAGTATATGGATAAACCACTATTTAATTGGACAATATTTCTGTTTTTAGTTGGTTAGTACTATTTGATTTTTGGAATATTCTGTTTGTTTTTAATTTTCTAAGCAGTACTGGAGTGAACATTGTGTAAATATAAGATAAATTAAGAGATATAAGGAAAAAGCACAGCTGTAATTCTAGGGAAGAGAAAGCCAGAAAGAAAACAAGAAAACTAGTTAGAAGACTGTTTATTAATTCAGAGGAGAGGCAATGCAGGTCTGTATTAGGTTAGGAATAGGGACATGATTTAGTATCTGATAGTCTGAGATTTGATTCTGGGAGTTGAAGAAGAATGTAAGATTTAGAAATCAACAGCAAAGATAATGGGAAGGTAAAATAGTGCTAAGGTTTAGAAGACTTCAGATCTGAACCTTGCAGTAAATCTGCATTCAAGTAGAATTCCAGTATTTTTTTATTAGACAATGAAGAGAGTAGGTGTGGTCATGCACACCTGTAATCTCAACAGAGTGTGACTGAAACAGCAGAATGAAAAGTTTGGGCCCAGCCTATGTAATTTAGCAACTTAGTAAAATCTTGTCTCAAAATTAAATACATTTTTTTGTTGTTGTTATTTTAATCAGGGTCTTGCTATGTATGTAACACAAGCTGGCCTCAAACTCTTTTTTTTATTTTTTAGATTTAACATGTTTTATAAGCCTAGATTATAAATTACAGAATACCAAAGTGTTGCTATATTAATTGGTGCCATCAACAGCTCCCCCCCCATACCTCTTTACTACTTAAAACAGTACCTTCCCCTCTAATTCCCAGATATGAAGCAATCAGAATATTTTCATTTAGTTTCAGGGTTAACACCAGAAAGAAGTTATAAAGAACTGAAGTTTTGTGTTGACCAAAAGACACAGGTTTCTCATTAAACTTTGTTTTAATGGGTCTCAAAATTCTGTGACAGATTTTTGGTCAAGCTGTTTCAATTGAAAAATGATTTAAAAAACTAATAACTTAAAACTGTCACACACAAAAAGAAAACAGATGGTCCAGAAAACACGTTCTCCTTTCCTCCTGAAGGTTTTACGATGCATTGTTATCATTAACCAGTCTTTTACTATTAAACTTAAATGGCCGATTGGGAGAAACAGTTCAGAGACCGGTCTTCCACCACTGATTAAGACTGGGGTGGCAGGTGTTAGGGGTGATATTCATTTAGCCCTCTGAGCTTTCTGGAAAGACTTGGTGACCTGGCCAGCTCCAGCAGCCTTCTTGTCCACTGCTTTGATGACACTCACAGCAACTGTGTCTCATATTGCGAACAGCAAAACGACCCAGAGGTAGATAGTCAGAGAAGCTCTTGACACACATGGGCTTGCCTGGAACCATGTCAACGATGGCAGCGTCACCAGATTTCAAGAATTTGGTGGCCTCAAGCTCTTGAGGTGATCCTCCTGACTCATCCTCCTCAGTGCTATTGCAGAGGCCATGGATCCAATCCCCGGACCTGGTGGGGGGGGGGGGGTTGGGGAATGAAGAAAGAAAAATGTAAGAAGTAGAACTAGAGCCAGGTGTGGTGGCATACCTGTAATCACAGCACTCAGAGAGGCTGAGGTAGAACAATTTCAAGTTCAAGCCTAGTCTGGGCAAGTTAGTGAGATCTTGTCTTTAAAAAAAAATGTTTTTAAATTTAAAAGCAGCTGCTGATGTAGCTCAGTGCAGTGAAAAGAAGAAGAGGGAAAAAAAGTAGAACTAAAAGAATGCCAAAGGAAAAACGTTAGAGAGAAGATGACTATTCATGTCAGGTGTTTCTTTGTTTGTTTGTTTACAGTACCAGGGATTGAACTCAGGACCTTGTGCTTGCCAGGCAGGCATGGCACCACTGAGCTACATTCCCTACTAGACAGATTATTTTTTAAAAATTGTATCAGTTCAAATATTACTGAAGGCAGATTTCTGTAGATTTGCCTACTCTGGATATTTCATATAAATGGAATCCATCAATATATGACTTTTTGTGTTTATCCTCTTTCACAAAGCATATTCTGTTTTCAATATATATCATTGTGCCATGTACCGGTACTTCATTCCTTTTTATTGCTGAGTAATAGTCCATTGTATGGATATACCACATTTTGCATATCCATTCATTTTCTTTTTTTTTTGGTACCGGGGATTGAACTCGGGTCCTTGCATTTGCGCAGCAGGCGGCGAAACCACTGAGCTAAATCCCCGGCCCTATCCATTCATTTTCTAATGAACATGTTGGTGGTTCTGCTTTTTTACTATTATGAATAATGCTGCTGTGAATATATGTGTACAAGCTTTTGTATGAACATGTTTTCATTTCTCCTGGGTATATTCTTAGGAGCAGAATTGTTTGGTATTTAGGTAACTTTTTAACATTTTGCAGAATTGTCAGACTTTTCCAAAGGGTTGTACCATTTTACAATGCTCCTAGTAGTGTAAGAAGGTTTCAGTTTTCCTAAATTACCAACACTTGCTATTGTCAGTATTTTTTATTTTAGACATTCTAGTGGGGTCAAATGATACCTCATTTTAATTTTGATTTGTACTCCCTAATGACACTGAGCATCTTTTTATATGCATGTTGACCATTTGTGTATCTTCTTTGGAGAATTGTCTATTCAGATGCTTTATCCATTTTTTATTGGTCACTTGTCTTTGTATTATGGAGTTACAGGGATTCTTTATATATTGTGGGTAGAAGTTTCTTATTAGAGATATGATTTGAAAATTTTCTCCCATTCTGTGGATTGACTTTTTTTTTTGGTACCGAGGATCAAACGCGCTTGTGAGGCAGGCAGTGGCACCACTGAGCTAAATCCCCAGCCCATGGGTTGACTTTTATTTTTTCATTGACTTTTTACTACTTAATTGTATCCTTTGAAGAACAAAACTTTTAAGTTTTTATTAATTCATTTTATCCATTTGATGTTTTGTCACTTTTGGATTTTCATGTCGAGGAATGTGATACCTAACCAGAGGTCATGATGAATTACTTCTCTATTCTCAAACCTTTTTAATAGATCTTTTTTTCACCTGAGAAACTGAAGTCTTCTCTTCTAAGCCTTGAGTCAAGTCTTTCCACCACTCACTTTCATTTACACCCAAAAAACCTCTCTTTTTAGTTACTCTTGTTTAATAAGACCTCAGCTAAACACTTTCTCTGTGTCAAGCACTGTGCTAGGTTTTATGTATAACATAAAATAAAAAATGATACTGCCTTATATACTGATACTGGGGATATAAAATTATAAATATAACTTGTACCTTGCAGTGTAGAAGTGCTGTTAAAGCAGATCTGAAAAAAAGAGCAGTAGCCGTGTTAAGTGACACATGATTTATTTAAAATTTTGTATGGACTTAGTTTCTGATGAAATTTGCATTTGTATATAATGGAATGATAAAATTATGGCAATATGCTTTCTCTTATAAATTGATGATGATTTTTAATGAGTTTCTCAAGGCTGGCCTTAAACTTGCAGTCCTCCTGCCACAGCCTCCTCATTAGCTGAGGTTACAGGCATGTGTCACCACACCTGGCAATTTTCTCAGATTTTGATATCCACAGAGAGTACTGGAACCAATCCCCACTATCCCCCCCCCCACACACACACAGATACCAAAGGATGACAGAAGTGAACCTTGGGAGGAGCCTTAGGCGAGGCTAGTGCTTAGGACCAACCCCACTTTTGAGAGCATCTCTGTATTCAAAGATAGCAGTAGGAAGCATTGGCACTGGTAGACAGTGCAGCCATCTACTGTACAACTGGCTTTTGCTATGGTTTCTGTATTATTATTCCCACAGAACTGGCCCAGAACCTGGGTAGAGAAGGAGCAGAGGACTCAGTAGGTCTCCATACAACTGAGGCTTTTCTCTGGCCTAAAGCAGACCACTCCCTGGGCCTTCCTGTCCCTAGGAAGATGGGCTCCCTGGCCTTTCAGGCTGGCTAAATGGATCCTGCCTCCACACAAACCTATTTTGTTGAAATTCAGCATTGACCAAAAACTGATGTGAGTGTTCCTTGATCCTCTAAAGATCCAAGGAACTGAGTTAGACAGGGTATTAGAAAAGAAGCCTGCAGCCACGTGGTCCTGAAACTCATTTTCCCGCCCTATGTGCAGAAGCCTGCCTGCCTCTTCTTTAGGCAGACCCCACCACAGTTCCCTGTGGAGGTGCTCGCACTAGGAAGCCTGGTGCTGAGACCTGCCCAGCATCTGCAGGGACTGAGCTCACGTGTCTGCTGCTCTCTGCAGTCTCCCTTCAGGGCCTCAGAAATCCCCTCCCAGCCTCACTGCCCCACCCTGATGTTAGTCTGGAATGCTAGTGTGAGGAAAAAGCTGGAAAACAGGGAATCATTCAGAGTGGGGAAAAAGAGGAGGAAGAGGTTTCTGGCTGGGGTCTAAAAGGAGGAGCCGAAGGAAGGAAGGAAGCAAACAAGCAAGCTTCCAGGCTCTGCCCAGGCTTCTTCCTTAACACTCTTAAGGACAAGAGAGGAGCTAGACCCAGCTCTCCCTATTTTTCCCTTGGTGTCTTAGTCTCCATCTTGCAGCACTGACTGCCCTGTGTAGTAGACTTTTCTCTACCCTCCTCCTTCCCTGGGCTAACAGGCCCACAGGGACTGATGGGGAGGGAGGCTGAGTAGCTTGTACTGTGGGCACGCCTGCTCCTTTCCCTTCCCCCTTCCCTTAGCAGCAACGTCACCGCAGCACCAGCAGCCGCGGCAGCAGCCAGGAGCCGGGCTGGGATTGCACAGCCTCCCTGCCTTAGCTAGGATGCCATTGTATTAGCAGAAATCAGATCTTAGGGACTCGGCCCACTTCCTCCAGTGTGGCCCTGTGGAACAGTGCCTCAGCTGGAACTGTCAAGGTGAGCTCGGTGGGAGTGCGAAAGGAACAGGAGCCTCCAGTCCAGCTCAAGGCTCCTTACAGAGGTATGGCACAGCGGGTGCTGGGGGAGGGGCGGGGCAGAGCCCGAGAATCCCGGTTGGAGTTTAGGCCCTAGTTTTTGAGGGCTGGCTTTGTCTTTCTGAAAGAGAGAGAGCCTGCGCAGACAAGCTCATCCATGCATACATTTGGCTGTGGTGCAAGGATGTGGAAAAGCAGAGGCTTGGGCTAATAGCTATTTATGCTGATTTGTCAAGAAGCAGAAGAGCCTGCCCTTCCTTTCTGGGCATTTCTCATGAAGCTACAGTAGGTTCGTTCTATAGTCAGGGTGGAAGGGGTCAGATCTAGAAACAAAGGTTTAATGGGAGGAGACACCCCTAAAGCTATAAGTTTATGATGTAAGTTTATGATGGAGACCATGCAGAGATCCACGCAGCTTTCAAGAGCAGCTGGGCAGCCTTTCCCTCCACCACATGCATACATGCATGCACACAGACACACATGCCATATCTTCTGGTGCTGTGGGAGCCAGCCCTGGGCTCCACCTTAGAATGGAGTAAAAGAATGTTGACCAAGATGTCCTACAGTATACAGGAAGAGGGTGTCATTGTAATTCCCAGGGCACCTGACCTGTTATAATCAGCCTTCTTATACAGATTTAGCTTCCTAGTAGGAAGAGAACTAAGCATAAGATAAGCTGCCATTCCCAGACCCTTCCCTTTTCCCTCAGTCCTGCCTGAGAGAAGACCCAGTCAGGAAAAAGGCTATCAGTCCCATGGAGGCTTCTCAGGAGCTCAAGTCAAAGTCAGATTTCTATAGAATAGTAACTAAGTACCACTGTCTTCCCTATCTTCCTTCAGGAGGCCAAAAAGAGAGGGAATGAGGTCTTTGACTAGCAGAAGGACACTGATGTCCAAAGACAGGAGAGGCTTTCTTTTGGAATGTACCTGCCCAGAGTTGTCCTATTGCTGAGGAGTAGAAAAGTTCCTTAAATTCCCATTTCCATTAAACCACCTTGGTAGAAGATTCAAAGTGTGATAATGGGAGGCAGTATTTCCACAGTGTGCAAATATGTATGTGGTTAAGGGATACACTGGAAAGTTGTGGGAGTGTATTAGTTCCGAGGAAGCATCTAGGGATATGAACCACAGAGCAGAGGAAAGAAGCTTTGGGAACCATGGATGGGGCTGGGACATAGGGACTGGGAACTGGAACAAGAGGGGCAAGGGGCAGGACTAACAAGTGTTGTAGGAGCAAGGGGTCTGTGGGTTTAGAAAATAGAGAGTATCTTCACCTATATAAATGAAGGCTAAGTGTGGGGCCACTCAGGAAGGATAGGAAACAGCTGGTCTGAGCAGCAGGGCAATCATAAGGACTTTAGGAAGAAGGTGCAGTCCTATAAGTTTTCTTTGGAAGGTAGTTGAGAATTAGGCAAGCCTGGGTTTGAATCCCATAGCTGTGTGACTGTGGGCATACCACTTAAACACTCTAAGCTTCAGTTTTCTCTTCTGTAAAATGGGAATGATTATGCCTACTTGAAAATGACATAGTAGTATTAAAGCTGATACATGTACATGTATCATATAAGGGCCCAATAAGTGATCACTAATAAATAGCATTATTATTATAGGCCAAGAGATACTCATTTGGGACTAGGCCCAGGAAAAGGATCTCAAAGACACCTTTCCATGAATCTCTCATGCTAGACTTCATTACTTCATGCTGGATGAGCCCACTGCACCTCTGTCTATGCTGTAGGCATAGCTAGAGGACTCATCTTCTGGAGGGCATTTTTCCACTGTTTTCTTATTCTGGATCCTCTGTTGCTTCTCCAGCCTCATCATCCATGTCTCTCCATTTAATTAGGGTACAAAAAGAGTCTGGCAAGAGCTCTTCTTAGTATTTCTCTTCACCTTTACAGAGTACAGCATTGACTTGTCTGGATATAGGACAAGTTACTCTTAGGAAAAAAGTCTTAGGTATGCTTTCAGAACATGTTTTCTGTGATGTTTAAATCAAGTCAAAAGCATGATATTTATCCTTTCAGTACTTGAGGGGTGGGGGCTGCTGGGGATTGAACCCAGGGCTTTTTCACTGAGCTACATTCCCAATTCTTTTTCTTTTTTATTTTGAGACAGGGTCTTGCTAAGTTGTTAAAATGCCCAAGTTGTGCTCAAATTTGTTATCCATCTACTTCATTCCTCCCAGAATTCTGGGATTATAGGCATGTCCAGCCACGCCCAGCCTGTCAGTACTTTCTTAACTGATGAAGGAAAAAGTTAGAATTCCTGAGTCCCATCTAAATTCTCTTATTTATTCACTGAATGATCTAGTAATTTCATTTTTCCAGGTGTCCCTTTTCTTATTTTTTAAAATAAAGAAATTGGTGTGAGGATCACTGAGATACGACATACATAAAATGTGCCTTCTAAAAAAATGTGAAGGGTGTAAGATAAAGTACAAATACAGACCCTGATGAGATGCCTGCAGAACTTCCCTGTACCTGGCCAACTCGAATTATTTGTGGAGGCACCACTGGCAGCCATTGCCCTTGGTTGTATGCAGATCAAGGAGTAAGGCCTCTCCAGAATACAAAAATATGTAATAGTACTATGAAGTCAGTCAGTAAAAGAGCTTGACACTTAAAGTAAGATCTGACATAATCTAAATGTAAAAGCCAAAACTATGTAGCTTTTGGAAAAGAAAGAAAAATTCTTTATGATCTTGGGATAGGTAAATGTTTCTTAGGATACAGAAAACTTTAACCCTAAAAAGAAAAAGTGATAAATAGGACTTCATAAAATGAAAAACTTCTGCTAACAACAACAAAAATGCCATGGTGGGGAGCAGGCTTCCACTACAGTCATGAGACAAATGTGTCCTGGCACTTTCTGCTGGCTGTCTGTGGCCACCCAGATTGAATAGAGTAATGTGGGGGGCCAAATAGGTATGCCACAGACTGAGAGAAAATATTCACACGACAGATCTCTGACAGAGGACTTACATTCAGAATGTTTTAAAACTCCTACAACTCAATAATGAAAATACAAACAATTCAATTTTTAATGAATAAAATAGTCCACAAATAGCTGAACATCTGTCAGGCTCTAAGCACTGTGTAATAAGTTCTAGAGACAGAGCTGATCAGTCTCTGACCTCTGATCTGCATTCTAGTCTGGGGGACAGATATGTAAACATATAATAACCCATATGTCAGCACCCTCCAGCCAAGGGCTCCTTCACCTCCCATATGCATGTGTTCTTACCCCTGGTTTAGAAGATGAGGTTTCTCTGTTCTGTGCATCACTGTTTTGCATGGACATCCCAGCAATGGTTCTGTGGGCCAGAACACAAGTCTTCTACTACATGTATATTTGTGAGTGTCTCTTGAAAATAGTGCTTTAAAGGGGGTAAGAATACCAATTGAAGATCAATGATGGCTGTACCCCATGGGTACTCTTAGAATTACTGCTATATGTATAAGAAATTTCCCTGTCCTCCTTTAATCCGGTTCTTAGAATTATGGCCTGGACTGTAGGAGAAACCTAGTACTTATGTAAGGAGAACTCCTCTCCTTAAAGAAAAATATTGCTTAAATTATGTATCTATAATATATACAAATTAGAATATACAGATGAAACAAAAAATTAAAATAATCCAAAATCACTCAGCAGAAATTGACACCCTTCATTTTTTATTGTATTATGTTTCAGATTTTTTCCACACACATAGATTTTTTTTTTTCTTTAAAATGTGTCATATTGCCAGGCATGGTGGTACATGCCTGTAATCCCAGCTATGCGGGTACCTAAAGCAGGATAATCACAAAGTCAAGGCCAGCCCAGACAACTTGGAGAGACCATGTCTCAAAATAAACTTTTAAAAGAATTGAGGATATAGCTTAGTGCTCCCCAGGATCAGTGCATGGGGAGGGTGTAGCATGCTATACGTGCTGTTTATAATTTGCTACTTTCAATTAATATTTTGTGAACATCTTTCCAAGTCAATAATCATATTAACAGGACTTTATTATTGTTGTTGTTTATTGTTTTGAGACAGGCTGTCATTGTGTTGTCCAGGCTGGCCTCAAATTCCTGGGCTTAAGGAATCCTCCTGTCCTTGGCTCCTGAGCTGCTGGGATTACAAGTGCATACCATCCTACCCAGCTAGTAGGACATTATTTTTTGTTTTGTTTCAGTACCGGGGATCGAACTCGTGTCCTTGCACTTGCGCAGCAGACAGCGAAACCACTGAGCTAAATCCCCGGCCCAATAGGACATTATTTTAATGATACTCTGTTCTGTATTTTTTTATTACTATTGGAAGTTTTCACCTTTCTGTTATCCATAGGGCCAGGAATTTAGCTCAGTGGCGCCATGCCTCCCTTGCAAGCGCAAGGTCCTGAGTTTGATCCCTGGTACCTGGAAAAAAAATGTTGTTATCCTTAAGCATATATATTTGAGCCTAAAGTTTTCTTGGTAAAGGAAGAGAAGAGATAGGAATAAGAAAAGGGGGAATTATCTCATGTGTCTTACGGCAAAACTGCTTTAAAAGCATCTCATCTTTCTCCAAAATGCCACATTTGTGCCGGTCAGCTTATTCTCACCTTGTATGCAAATGCCCAACCCCCTCCACTGCTTAGTACTAATTCCCTTCCTCACTTCTCCATGTCTCTTCCTATAAACATTAATCTTTAGTTTCTTGTTTTGACAGAAGTTTTATACAACAAGCTTGCTGAGACATAATTCACATATCATAAAATTCAGTAGTTTTCATATTTCACCACTGTCTGATTTCACAACATTTTTATCTTCCCAAAAAGAACCTCCATAGCTTTTAAAGTCCCCATTCCCTAGCCTTTGGCAACTACTATCTTTCTGTTTTTATGGATTTGTGTTATGTACATTTCATATAAATGGAATTATATAAGGAAGCTTTTAGTGACTCATTTCCTTCATTTAGCATGATCTCTTTAAGGTCCATTCAGGTTGTAGCATATACCACTACTTCCTTTTACTGCCAAATAATATTGTTACATGTATATGTC